GTTAATGTATTATATTATTGAGGGAGAATTGTCCGGGGCAACAGGAAAAACTAAAGCCCCGAATGCCCAGGCCAGGCGACGCCACTGGTTGCAACTGTGGAGAAGTCTGGGCTGCGGCTGACAGAGCACACTGACGCGCTTACCTCACGAAAAGTGTGCTCAGAAAACAGGGCTGATTCCNCACCACCAGTGTCTAGACCCAGGGGGGTTCATCGGAAACGGTTCTTTCCTTCCCGAATGACATCCTACCAAACCTGGGCCTAATCGCCAAAACACTATTTCATTCACTTGCTACAAACTGTCATCATTATGTTCATTTATATAATGTGACCCGATAATAAACATGTATTCCATACATCACGTCTCTCCTGAGTGAAATGTTGATGTAGAAAATAGGTGAAAAAGAGGCGACCTTTAATATTTTATCGCCCTGTGAGTTCTACTGGATAGTCCAACTGACAAAACTAAAAAAGTAAACAGAACTTAATAAAAGTTACAATTTTAAACGTTCTCTCAAAGCCTTAAAAAAGTGTTCACGCTCACCCATTCCTCCTCGTCGTACTCTTTATGGTGCGGTATGGAGTCTTGGTGCTTCAGTGTCCCTCCTTCTCCTCTGGTCGTGGTTTGTGACGCCTCCACGTTATTACACCCCGCGGGGCTGTCAGTGATGGACGTGGCCGGGCTGTGGCCGGGGAGTCCCTGGACCGGGCTCTGGTTCTGGTCGCCGCCCTGGTGGATGTGGCCTTGATGCTGGCCCCCCTGCACCGGGGTCTGCTTCTGGTTCTTGGAGACATACCCAGGCCGCGCTGCATGCAGAGCCAGCAGAGCACTGTTGACCAGCTCATCTTTAAGTGTGTGAACAAATTGTTCTGTCTGTAGCAAAGAGGGGAATAAAGAGAGAGAGGTACTGAAAGTTATTGCGAGGAAAAACCACCGAATAAAATATAGGCGTAGCAAAAGAGGCAGAGTGGGGATAGAGAGATTGTCACCTCGGCAGGGTGAGTGGGTGGAAGAACATACAGCGAGCTTTATATACAGAGAAAGTGAAGAGAAATAAGGAAAAATGAACACTGCCGTTCACCATGAAGTAGCTGCTCTCCTCTACTGCAGCACAGCCGGTGAGCAACGAAAACAGCAACAAACAACAAACAATTCAATTACTCGTCATCCAGCCCGCCGCTCCGACGAGCGCGCCTCCTTTGATCTCAAATTCACCAGCTACTCTAAGTTGCTGATGATCCCGGCACCAAGCAGCCTGACGCTCGCAGCCACCACTGCGTAAAAAATGATAAGGGCTCTCAAGAGTAATTGAGTTAGCACTGCAATAAGCAATTGTATTACCACCACAGTCTAACAAAACATGAGGCAGGCACTCCATGAACAGAGACTGCTGAGGTCAATGCAGACATATATTTGCCATTACTCATCCAACTATTCAGGGTAACATTAGAAAAATGCATAACGGTTCAAAAGAACTGGAATAGAACAATTATATTTCATTCTTCTAATAGACCACCATACAGGGAATCACTAATCATACTTTTTGACGACACTGAAGGTCCGCAGCTGGCTCTGTTGAAGTGAAGAAATAAAGTTCAACAAGGAAGGTCTTTACACACATTTAGATTCGTTTTCCATTGTTTGCAGAATGTATACATGTTCTCCCTGATCCAATTGTCGCTGTCCCTTGTATTAGAAATTCTAACATCATCATTATATTAAACGAATACAATACAACAATCTTTCTGCTTGTGTTTCTCGAGCCAATCGGGGGCTTCAGCATGCTCTTGGAGAGCATCCATCATATACAAAAGACATATACAGAGGTACATACTAGGGATGGGAACGATTCATCGAATATTCGAAATTATTCAGGTATTCGAATATGAGTTATGAATATTCTTATTGTAATTATTATTATTTTTTATTTTTTGGGAGGAGTTCCTAAGTTGATTACATATTATCAAATGGAATAATTCAATGTATATGACAGTGCCAAATGTGGTCTAAAGGTGTGTTTTGCTCCGCCCACCGGTCCCTCACAGTTGATCTCTCTCTCGCGTCCGGTTATACTTCACTCGCGTTTATGTCCAAATCCATCAGATCTAGTTCTAGCTAATGATATGGCTGCTGCCCCTCCCTACACGCAGATCACTCAGACTCAAACCTCATCTTATGGCCAAATTCCAGCTGAGAGGGTCTTCTCTACAGCTGGCGTGATTGTGAATCGCCTCCGCACACGCCTCTCCCCATGTTCATATTGTTAAACAAGAATGAGCTATATTGAATAGCTGCATTCTGTGCATAGGCCCTGTTACAGGTTGTAGATCTCTGTTGTGATAGGGTTACGTTACCCTAACCGGCCTATGCACAGAATGCAGCTATTCAATATAGCTCATTCTTGTTTAACANTGCTGTGTTTCATGTTGCTGCTGCTCGCCTGACCCCCCACCACCCCAGCTTCCACCCCAGCTTCCACCCCAGCTTCCACCCCAGCTTCCACCTGTAGGCTCGGGGGATAGTTATCTAATCATCACTCAATGTTCTTTGTAAATCTGTGGAGTGACGAGGCCCGAGCCTAGACGCCAAACTCAAACTATATGCTGCTTCTAATAAACATTAAGAAACACGTGAGTTGTCTGACTGAACTGTTTCTCTCTGATTCTGCAGTGGCTAATGTAATAAAGGTGTGTTTACTTTCAATATGTAACATTCATTATGTCACGGTTAATTCAGTTTTAATATGCATGCACTAAATGACTTCATATTTATTCTAGAAGGACCTGATTATCATTTTGTTCAGGTGTGCGTGTGTGTGAATGTGAAGTACTGTACTTCACATTCACACTGTGTGCACTCTGTAGACGTGCACAAGTTCGGTTGAGTCACTTAATTGCGCAGAAAGTCTAGCTTATCTGAGGTTAGAATAAATAAGATAAGATTCAACTCTATAGTTGTTGAACATAGTACTACAAAGTGCAAAGAGTAGATAAAGTGCATGAAGTTACAGTATATTCTCAACAAGGATACAATATCAAAGCTTTAGCCTATGTGAGGGAAAATATAGACACGTTTGTATGAATATGAAATAAAACATTTACAGATAATGAGCACGTTTTGAAGCATATACAACGTACATTAATGATGGTGTGTGTGTGTGTGTGTGTGTGTGTGTGTACTTCAGTGTGTCTCTTTGCCCATCTGAGGCAGCCTTTTGTAATCACATTTGATTAAAAGGGGAACAATCGGCAAGATGTGAGACTTGGCCATTCAATGTGATATTAATTCATCAAAGAGAAGATGGAAAGGGATTGAGGGATGGGTAAAAAGGAAAACCTGAGCACAGAGGTGTTACCAGGAGGGCAATAAAAGAGCTATTCATCTTTGTTCCATAGACACTAGAAGAGCGGAAGAGGGGTTATTTCCAGATCCATTCAAAAACCTGCATTGGCCAAACTTGGCAATGACCAGAATCTGTGATGTAGCTTGTCTCTCAGGATGGGCCAAGAAAGAGCTTAATCAATAACTACACTTAGTATTCCTCCAGAAGCCTTGCTCATGTACACTCAGGGCAGGCCCATTTATCTTTCATTAATGCAAGCAGTCCCACTTAAATGGATGTTTTAAAAGTCACTGGATTTTTATCCGTTTTTAATTGAACCCTGGATGAAGCTGTGGATTTGCTGATGTGGCTTAATCTCTCATTAACAGCCTCTTTTGAATTATTCAGATAATCTGCAACACACTTTGGTTCCAAATTGTTTCCTACCTCTACTGCTGATGTCTGCGTTATTATTGCGCATGTATAGAAGTAGGATGTAGACAGTAGTGTATTTTTAACTTGTGTGTTTGTTTCAGTATATTGTCAGACAGGTGCCTGTTTGTGAGGTCAGCTGTATCTAGTTGGAGCAGAAGCTGTGCAGTAGAGCTCCTCTGTACATTTGTTGTTAAAATCTGTCCACTGTTACAGAGAGGAAGGAAGCTGTGTCATTCCAACAGGCCTCCCGGTCAAGCAGAACTGCCGAATGACACATTTCTGGGACACAGAGAGTGGTGGAAACTGCATCGCATGTCTCTTGGGGCCAATGGTCAGATTTAATGTGACGAGCAGCATGTTGTCCAATAAAATAACTTTCTCGCAGGATTACTGTGTGTGTGTGTGTTTCAGACGCCGGACATTGGCAGTGTCTGGCTTCCATGCTGATGGACAGCAGCTTGTTAGTCCTCTGCCGGCTCCAGGTCTGTGAGCGCTGGTGCTGGCAGCCGCATTGAGGCTTATCTGGTCTCAAATCAGGGTTTCTTGTTTGCGACTGAACTGAGGAAAGCTTTGGCTGATACTCGGAGAACTGATGTGAGATCTGTGCCCGGCGGATGCTTCAACGACAGATGGAGTTGGCAGAAAAAATAAGCTGGTTTGAGATCAGATCATGTATCTATAGCGACTGTGTGTTTTTACTGTGGCTATGTGGTAGTGTCCCGGTGTAAGAGCCGTGATTACAGTATGCTGTCTGAATGACGAAGGAGGCTTTGGCCGTCACCTGGTGTGCTGCAGGGCTCTCTGCTGACGTAGCTGCATTTTACTCCTGCTGGCTGTCAGCAGCACACCACAAGCTCTTCATTAATTTCCTCTCCACTATTAATTAGACATGCGCGGAGATGCTGTCTTAATTAGGCCTCTGGGCCCAGCGGTTCTCTCCCTCTCATTACTTTTATAACCAATTCCCATTGATCATTTAGAAAAACTAAGAGGAAGTTCATCATGGACACACAGCTAGTTACAGTAATCTGTTAGTCTCCTTTTAATCTCAAATTCATCTGATGAACAAGTGCACCACACATGGAGAGGTCCTATTTCATGGAGGTTTTTCCTTTGTCAAACTTGAATTATAGGAGGCCACGGGACATAATTTCATGAATCAAAGTACAGGAACAAAGCGCAGTCATGTGCACTGTGCATGCATTGTGCAGAGGGATTGGCAGCACACCTTCAGTATTTTCATGGCTGGAGGCGCGTGGCACTCCCAGGGTGCACATGGAAATGAGGGGGATTAAAAAATTCCATTATCATCCACTATAAGTGAGTGTGTTGGGGTACGGCAGCAATTATTTTAAAATGTATTGCTCGCCTCACAATGACGTATAGACATCATGTAATAGATTCTGGAGGAGCTTCACCTACAGTGAGAGGAAAGCAATGTTCTCTCACAGGAGGAAGAGAGTTGCAATTATAATGGGTTGAATTATTTGTTTTGATCATGAGAGATATCCCGCAGTATCCTCTATTGTTTGTTTCTGATACTTCACTATTTTCTTTGGAATCTAAAGTGGTTGCATTCAGTTAGCTTAAATGCACCAATAACTTCACAGCTTTCTCTACAGGGACCAAAAAGATTTTCTGGGTGGACCATTAGTTTTCCGTTTGAACTAAAAAGTGCAATAATGAGTTTTCTAACAAACCAAGACTGTTATTAAAATGAAGATCTGGAACATGTATTGAAAGTTCGACAAAGTGTCACACAAATTAAGGACCTTTGATGAAATTCAATCCTTTATAGTTATGCAGCTAAAAGTGAAGGTATTTGTTCCTGCAGGCTGTATTGGTTGAGAGATGCTAATATAAATCTGATGTTAAAATTGACTTTCTAAAGCCTGAAATTAGTGCCATCTTCGGAATATTACTATTGGATTTGTCTGCAGGTCAGTAAAACATAACTAAAAGGGTTTGTGTGTTACCAAAATATCATAAAACCTGGGAGTACCATGCACAGTGCAATGTTTGCTATTAGCGTGCATGCAGCTGTAGGTACAGTATGCTGGTCACTGTAAGAATAATGAGATAATGATTCCTCATATATAATTTAAAGGTGGGGTAGGTCAGTTTGAGAAACCGGCTCGAGATACACTTTTTGTTATATTCCATGGAATGCCCTTAACATCCCGATAGCAATGAATATCTTAAGCTTTGACAAAAAATTCATTAAAAAATGTCATCTGTGGAAGCCGTAGTACTGTAAAAAG